TTCACGTCCGTTCCGTGTTTCTCCTCGCCGTCGTTTGCAGCTTTTCGCATCCCGAATGTAGCCACGGCTGGGCTAGGGCTGTTGCCGAAAAGGTGGACGGTCATCTTGTATTCGATAATCTCCTGGGATAGGTCATTGTCTTTGAACCATAAGAATCTGAGAAAGTCTCTGTGGGCTGGATCGACGTAGAACGAATGGAACATTTGTTCCACATCACACATCACTCCAACGCTTTCTTGTCTAAAGCGCATGAGGACTCCTAGTAGACTGTTCATTAGGTCTGGACCAACCAGTAGCTCCTTGTTGAGAGATGCACCTTTGTATTCGCAAGATGAGTCGAAAACCACTCGAATCTGTTCCGGCTTTTTGGGATGATAGATTCCGAAATGCGGTAGGTACCATACTTTGCCAGGCTTGACACTCGCTTTCTCCTCCGGGCTTGTGGATTTGCCTTCTTGTTCCGTAGAGACGTCGCTTCGTTGGACCGGAACGGCATGTCCGCGTTTGATTACTTTTCCGAGAAACTCCAAATAATCTTTCTCCATCTGGGGCTTTCTTTTGAAGGTACGCAGCAAACTCTGCAGGCGACTCATAGCTTGCTCCCGGTTGTTTGGCATCGTCACGTTCGGAGAGCGGAAGGGTAGCGGCATCTCCCAATTGCCATATTCATTTTTGTGAATCCCTTTCTCCATAATATGAAGGAACTGGCGGTCTTCCCAAGACAAGCCGATTTCATTGTCTTCCGGAGTAGTTCTGTAAACGTCGCTCTTCGTTTTCTCTGAATGTTCCTTGATCTCGTCTTTAACTTCAAAGTAGTTTGGACACGTTACTGTTCGAAATCCTGGGTGGGTTTCGAGGTTGGCGTGGGCACCTTCTTCGTGCTGTATCCTGGATTCGATGACGGGTGTAGGTGGTGAAAGCTGTATGACTGTACTACGGGTTGAGATGTGTACTGGTCCTCCAACTCTGTCAAGACACATTTGCCCAGACACCGTCCATCCTAGCGCAAGCTTTTGTGCCCAAGGTGCACCTTTGGGACCATTTTTGAAAGCCCTGACTTTCAACAACTCTGGGGCATCTCGGCCAATGAGGATACCGATCTTGGCTTCCTGGTCTAACGGTGGGATTTCTTTACTTACTTCGTCGAGGTGGGGGTAGTGCTTTGTCGTGGTTGGAGTGGGAATCTCGGTCTTGTCCTGTGGTACGTGTTCACACTCAATGAGGTTAGGTAACTTAGCGATTCTGCCACCCATCGACTTCACGAATAGCCCGGATACTCTCCGACCGTACTTTGTTTCTTTAGCACCACTACATGTCGTAAGAAGGTATTTTTGCTTTGGGCTATCGATATCTAACAAGTCTGCTAGTTCTGGGCTTATCATTGATGCATTACTTTGATCATCCATTATAGCATACACCCGGTGAGCGTTTTCTGATCTGTCTTCTGCATACACGTCTACGAGCAGGATCTTACTGCAAGATAGTCCTCCTGATCTCCCCTGACAGACAGAAGTGCATCGCGATTGTAAATCTTCGTTAACTCGCTCCTCGCCGTTATTTCTCTCCTCGTTTTCTTGCTTCTCGACCTTATCTTTGTGTAATATTGTTGGATGTCGTTCGCTCTTACACTTCCCACATTTCACGTTTTCCTTACATTGCTTCGCTCGATGTTTCCCGACCAGGCATCGGAAACAGAGACCGGCTTTCTTAATCCAATCAGTTCGTTCTTCCAAAGTCTTTTTACTAAAGGCTTTACACTCACTGAGTTCGTGTCCCTTTCTTTCGTGAAATGAACAGAACCTTTCGTTCTTATTGTCAACGCCAAACTCTTTATCATCGTTGATGTCCTCCGCTCTTGCTTTGAACACACGATTGTCTTTCGGTCTTTCTCTCTTTGGATCTCTGAGTCGTGGATCGTTGGGGTTTAGGTGTTCACTAGCTACCACGTTCGGATGATTTTTCAATCTAGCTTGCTTCTGAATCATTACCGAGAACTGGTGGAATGTGGGATAGAGGTCGTTGTTCTCTTCCGCGTACTCGACCACTTCTTTCTCCCATTTGAACCTAAGGAAACTAGGCAGGTTGTCGACAATGGGCTTTATAGCGTTCGGGTAGTTGAGGCAGGCTAGTCCCGATAAGGTGATCATTTGGTTGTCGACATCGTCACAGACGTCGGCGAATGCTTGTAACTTTGTCTTGTCTCGAGCGGTGAATTTGGCGGAATCTTTCAGTCTCTGGAGGAGCGCGTCAGTCAAAATGGCAGTGTTCCCAAACCGTCGTTCCAACTCTTTCCAGAGTTCGCGTAAGGTGACTGTGGGGTCATCTTGTTGTCTCTTCCTGAAGTGGTTGACCAGATCCTGAGCATTTCCCTTCGTGTAGTTCCGTAGGTAAGCAATCTCCTGGGAAGGGCTTAGATTTGCGTCTTGGGTCATTGCTTGGAACGACCCTTTCCAAGGGTGGAACAAGGTGGCGTCGCCGTCGAACACATCAGGGTGGCATTTCGGTAAATTCTGTCTGGCTAGACTGGCTACTATCTGTCGGTTGGTTTGTGCTATTCCTTCGATACACTGGTTCGCAATGACAACTTCCGGGTGTGTGGTCAGCGGTTTATATATAGGTTGATTTCCTGCAAAGCCCCTAGGGATAAACGACTGGAATTGATCCTTTGCGACACCATCTCGTTTTTCTTCAGCTGGTGTGTTACTAAGTGGTGGTGGTTCTCCGGTGTGTTCATTGGTGGGTGGGGAAGGTCTGTCATTTTGGTCTTGCTCGGGGTTGTTTGGTTGATGTTGTGTGTTGACCCACGACTGGGTTCGTGATCTAGCATCTTCGACCCCTAACCGCTCTGCTAGAATGGAAGTTGTGTCTTCTTCACGAATAGACTGTTCTATGGCTTTTAGCTTAGCGTCTGCTACTGCTTTTCTTTTCTCTGCCGCTAATATTGCCATGTCCCGTTCATGTTGCGCACGCATTTGTTCCCGATGGAATTCTTGTTCGGCTTCGCGTTGCTTTTTCTCACTTTCTTTTTCGGCCATTAATTGCTCGAATTCAGCTTGCTTCTGGGCTGCGGCAGCCTCGGCTAATGCCCACCTCCAAGACGTTACTGGAGGTTGCAGATGTGCGGGATGACTTGGTGCTGCGTGTACGTTTAGAACTGGTCGAACCTGTTTTGGTGGCAAGGCGACTTTGTTGGCTTTTTGCTTTGTTCATTGCGGTAGAAGCATATTTTAAAGCGGTTTGGGCATATTCTGTTACTTCAGTAATATGGGTACGGGCTTCACCCCACTTGGCTTGTTCAGAAAGTGTCTCAATGTCTTTGAGTATTACTTGGTACTTGGTGTAAGCTTGTTGTAATGGTGCAAGGACAGTTTCTATCTCTTTATCCGTAATATTTTTCTCCAATGCGGTCAAGACAGTATCTGATGACATATATAATGATTTTGCTGCTTTATTTAGTTCAGTGCTTTTATTTTGTATTGCATTGTGAATTGCTTTTTGCGACAAAGTTCGTTGTCGTTTCTCCTCATTAACTGATTCTAGGGCATCTGAAGTAGACAAATCAATTTCTCCCTCCTGTTGGTGAACCGATGGGTTCGTAGAAGTCTCCTTAGATTTCTGTTCTTCAGAATCTATAGCTAGTACATTAACACTAGTATCCCCAGACCCCTTGGGGTTCTCCACGGTTGATTGACTGCTATTACAACTCATATACACAAATTTCTCCACTTGCACTTACTATTTTCGTTGTTAAATACTCTCCAAAGGCGATTAAAACTTTCACTGTCGCGTTCCCAATTCGAGCACCTCGTGGGAAGAGTCGAATAGGAGTTCGTTTAGTGTTCAACCACGCAATAGAAGACAACTTTACACTTTAACTTTTAATATTATTCGTAGAAATGACATACACATTTACGTAAACACATATAGTCCTCAAATGCGCGGTGAAACTACATAAAAATAAAGGAAAAATACACACTATAACACACGAAAGGTAGACGATCAGTTCAATGTCAAAAGTCTGACGACTTACGTTTATAATGTCCCCAAAATTTAACAGGAAGATACATTAAAAGCGTCTCTAAAATATAGCTTGTCTCTATAAGATACAACGTTCCAAAAACGTTATTCGCGTTACTAAGGCAACCAAACCGCGCGAGTCCTGGGCCCCACCGTCCATATATCGACGACAATTCCCGACAACCCGACTCACGCCACGTACTTCTCCGAGTCAACATCACAGGTGGCACATATTTTTTTGTCCTTAATTTTCGCCAGGTAAACCAAGGAAAAGTCTTTTTCTATTGGTAAAAGTGGTCCAACTCAACAAGCAATTCATTCAACTGAATAAGTTTCGGGTCATGGAGAGAGAGACTTGAGAATTGCCTCACGTATATATGATCTGTGATTACTGTGAACTTCGCACCATATAGATAAATATCCCAAACGAAGTTAGGCATCGCTTTATATTCGGTGCGTGAGTTTGTTAGTTTGTTGCTTTGTTCGGAATCGTAAGCCTAATTGTTAACGTTTAAACCGCCAACGCGCGTTTTTGGTAATCCGTCGCATATTTAAACTATATCCTATTGGATATGTACGAAACAAGGGAATTTTTTATTTCTTTAATTAACACTTTTAAAATTGTTGGATTCTAGAACGAGGCCAATCGCGAGAATATTTAATTATCTGTGAATTAGTACCCTGGTTGCAGAGACTCTTTGCGAGGCGAAATTAGATGTCAACTTGGGAAAATATATTGCGTCTGTAATAAAACTGCACTATCCGTAGGATAAATGTGGTGGTAGTTTACGTGCACTATCCAGCGAATCAATCCAAAGTTTCAAGACAAAACAGTTCATATTGCAGATGAAAAGGGTATAGGATTGCGACAGAAACGCAATTTTGGCTAGAATCAGGGCGCTGTATAAATGTTAGACGTTCCGTGTTGGCCTGTGTTCTGATTTGACCGGCATTTTCTCCAGCTTTTTCTTTAATATAGTTTGAAAGTAATTATAGCAAATTTCTCGCTTTTACGTATCAAAACACGCCATGAGCAAGCGAACGAAAAATCGAAAATAAAACTTGATGCTGAACTTTGTTCGCTGGCGTTAATCAGCCAATCATGCCACCTTGGTAAAATGATCTTAAACGAAAAGTACGTGCATGGTCAAGGAACAAAATATTTACAAATCTAGCAACGATTGAAAAAGAACAATTCAATCATAAACAACAGATAATTTTTATAACAAGTAAATTTGAAGATTTATCAATTCAGTATGGAATTCATACGGATAATTCATATGTGAAAAAAACCTAGCAATGCCAAAGGCTGACGTATACAGTGGCGGAAATCTAGGTGGGGCGGGGGGGGGGGCGGCCGCCCCCCCCCCCTCGTGGAAAATGACGAATTTTCGGAAATTTTGACCTATAAAAGGGCTAAAAACAGCCTTTTCGAGTGCAAATAGGGGGGTTTGTTGGAAATTTGAAAGTTTTGTCGGAAATTTAGAAGGCTTTGCCCCCCCCCCCGGAAAAAGTGAATTTACGCCACTGGACGTATAGACGTTGGAAATGTCAGGAAAATTCGGTTTTCTCCAGATAAATTTCCGACGGATTGCTTCGTACAACGCACCTTTCGTACAACCGGCCCCTGATTTGAAAAGCAAAAATTAATCTAGTTCAATAGTGTCCTTGTCATGTCCCGGCTGTATTGTGATCCCCATCCATACCAGGTGATCTTGATACGCGGAAAAGTACTGGCACTAGTTGTCAAATAGAAATCCATTTTATGATTAAAACAACTGAATATCTCCTGTAATATACTTTATTTCGATTCCATATTTTTGTCAGAGCTATAGTTCTCATAACCAAACATAATTACAAAATTTCAACTAGTTTCATAAAGAATAACGAAAGATATAATTGACTGAATACATCAAAATGGATTTCTATTCGGACAACCCTTTCTGAGCGCTGATTGGCTAAAATACGAACACGAGATCACCTGGTAATGTATACGTGTTCAGTCACATTAACCTACAATGTTTCTTCTCGACGACAAGGTTACCATACATGTTCGATGTATTACCACCAAGAAACGTAATCAGGTCACTTGGCAACGGCAGCTTTTCTAACATCGAGAAATGGACAGACTTTAGGATCGTGGATTTACACAACTCTTTTAAACTCTCCATTTTTGGTGGAATCTCAAAATAGAGGTACTTGTATTTCTCTAAATCATAATAATCACGATCATGCTCGACAGACATCATAGCAAACTTCGAACCACAGGATGTGAAACATGGAAATATACTATACATATCACTACACATCAAGCCGTGTGGCATCACACAAAACGGTTCTAGGCTCTCCGCGTCAAGTATTATACATTTGCAGGTTTTTTCGTCTGGGAAATATGCAGGTACACACAATAACCGACCATTAGGGCTAAACTTTAATGTGCTGTCTCTTGCATTTATGATTCTTTTCTCATATCCAACACATGGCCGTAAATCTTCAAGTTTTGCAGCATACTCAGAATGTGTTGTAGCTTCCCATAAACGTATTTCCATATCATCATTCTGAATGGCAACCTGAAAATGACCTTGCAAGACTCCTTGAGGATTTAAAGCAATGCCTGTTGGACGGCATCTAAGAAATCCAATCTCAGAACAATCAATTTCTAACAAACAAGATGTATTAAAGATATCAAAGATATTCACAGTCAGTAAACTTGTACTATATGCTAACACTATTGCATATTTGCTATCATGAGTGAGCGCTCCAATCACTCCTTCAACAAACTCTTCATCATCGTCATACAAAAAGGGATTATCAAACTCATCCACAAACACGTGACGTGGAATGTTTCCAAGAACTCTCAATTTGTTGGTCATGTGATCATAAATGCAAATCTTATGATGTTTCTTCTTGTTGCTATCATGGGCTCGCATACAGATAGATAACAAACCGTCGCCATTCAATGTATAATGATTTTCAGTAGGGCAATAAAAATTTTCATATGACGCTTCAAGTGCATTGTCCTCGAAGTACGCCTCCATTCTTGCTCTGGAACGCTCAATAAACATCTCAACACTCTGCACAGTACGAGAAGGGAAAAGTTCAGGATATTTCAAACCATCTTCAACTGAAGAAAGATGAAATGGTTCAATAACTTGGGTGGTTGAAAAAAGGTTGATAACCTGTGAAAATAATGGAGTTGATGTTATTTTTTAACTTACTGTATATCGACTGCCGTGGACTGTACGGGAATGGCGTCTACTTTGAGGGTGCGTATTTATTCAAGGGCAACATTTATTTCTTCCACTTCTCGTAAAGCGCTCATTGTTTTATTGTTTCAGATTAAGCTGCATCGTACTTGTTTTTGGAAGCAATACCAAAAAAATCAAGCTATTAATTTGTGATTTTTGGTTATATACGTAATTGACGCATTTGATGTGAATTAATAAAACGTTTAATCGAGCAAATACGGCACCTACTTCAGAAATAAACACTATATTCAATTGAACACCAGCGGCAAGCGCTCTCCCCTTGATAAGTAAAATCGTCTGGCGTTATAAACAGAGTAAAAAAAATAAAGTAGGGCGAATTGGGTGGAGCAGTAGTCAAGCTTTAAGGAAATTTCATTTTCACAAGCCAAGTACGGAGCCTTGTTTTTTAAAATATTGTCCATAGTGATAGTCGTCAGATCGTAGTTCAGACAAGAGTAATAAGAGGCAACAAAATAATAGATATTTTATGTAGGAATCAGTGTTTTGATCACCATTTTATTTTGCCTCAAGACAACTCTAACTTTAGACCACGAAAAGCGTGCTGGAATGCTGTAAGCAATACAATTTATTCTCTCCTTTGTGTTGGAGAGTGAAAATGATGTTTTTGATGAACCCGTCTACATTGACGTTGCTGTTGGTTTTACAAATTAAGCTCCCTATTTTACATTCAATAAAGATAGGAGATGGCAATAATTTCTTTTTAAAATTATAAACTATTTTCAATAATTGAGGACTTTGTAAAGTACCATGATTCACTGTTCACTCTGCCTCTGTATTCTGTAATTATAAGGACTTTTACGTGAAATTTCGTTTGCTTATCTAGATTCGTGAAATTTCGTCTGGGTATGATTACATCAATATACACAGTTTCTTGGCCACTTCATATCTCCCGGTTATTACGCTTGATGCAATATTACTACCAAGGAACGTAATTAGATCACTTGGCAACGGCAGCTTCTCTAACATTGAGATATGGACACACTACAGGATCGTGGATTTACACAACTCCTTTAAATTCTTGGTGGAATCGCACCTTTTTAAAATTCCAATAGCCTTCCGCCGAGAACATGACAAACTTTGAACCACATGCACGATGTAAAACATGGAAACATATCATACATATCAAGACACACCATATGGCATCACAAAGAACGGCTATAGGCTCTTCGCATCTAGGAGCTCCGGGGAGAATGGAACCCAAATTCAAATCTACTAGACTTTCTGTCGCATCTTATTCTGTTTCTTCATTTGCTGACTACTGTAATAACCATCAATTCTCAAACAGATGTAATTTTAGCACTATATAATAAAACGCCATTATCATTTCTTCATAGGTTATTAATCTTTCTCACTCCACCGAAGTGATTGGATCATTTCAAATCGGCTCAAGTGCATGGGAAAGGATTGGAACTTTCTTCTCTTTTCCCTCCTCGTTCCGCAAAGAGTGTTGAGATGTTTATTAAGCGTTACAAACCAACAATGGTGCCTTGTTAATTGACCAAGAATATGAAGCCTCACTTTTAAAAACTTCCAATCTCCTGTCGATTGCTACACTAGATCGAGTGGTGATGGCTTGGTATCTGTCTGTATACAATGCTGTGAGCGTGCTAGCAAAATACCCCAACATGAGATTGCTATCTATGATCACATGACCAAGAAATTGAAATTTCTGGGAAAGATACCACGTCACAGGTTTATGTACTGTATGAATTTAATGAAGAAGTACAGTATATTTTTAATTTGGACCAAGCATATTGACAACTTGTGTTCAACAATCAATAGTAGACTTGCTTTATTACGCAGGATTAAACCCTTTTTAACTAAGGACTGTGCTCTTCGTTTCTATAACTCCTGTATTAATTCAAGTCTTATCTACTGCTCTGTAACTTGGGGAAACTGCTCAAAAACACTTTTACTTCGCATTCTTCGACTGCAAAAGCGTGCAGCACGTATTATTCTAGACGCTGACTTTTCTACTCCTTCTGTTCTTCTTTTTTCCCAGATTCGAATAATCCCAATCTTTGATCTTGTTAAATTTAGGAAGCTTCTCTTACTAATTAACATTCTCACAAATCCCAGTGCTCCATCTTCATTTAAGCAAATGTTTAATTTAAACATTTGCTTAAATGAAGATGGAGCACTGGGATTTGTGAGAATGTTAATTAGTAAGAGAAGCTTCCTAAATTTAGTTTAAATTCTTATCTTCTATTCGACAACGGGCTCTGACTAAACAAGACTTGCGTATATGACCTTCAACCCCCCTTCCCGCGTACTGACTCTGGTAAACGAACATTTCTGTACAGTGCTTCCATTCTTTTTAATTGCTTAGATAGTATGTAAGCAACTTGCTGCTTCGCCATCTTGCTCTTCATATAGTAACGCCAAACAAAAAATTCGTAAAATCTTTCTTAACAAGCTTAACCTTACTAACCATATCGAAGATCTATTTTGTATAAATTGTAAATATTTACTAAATTGTAATCATGTATTCATTACTAATTATTTTTTCTCAAATGTAAATAGTCGTAATCTTTAATACTTTTTATGCCTGTAAATATCAAAATAGTGCGAGGGCCGTATGTTAGATAACTTTTACGGTTAATACGTTTTTCCCTCGTGAAATAAAGTTTCTATTCTATTTATTCTACTCTATATCAGATAAGACATGTTGAAGGAGTGATTTGGGCACTGGCTAATAGTAGATATGTGGTGGTGTTTTCTCATAGTAAACTTCTGATGACTATGAATGTATTTGACATCTGGAATATGTGTTGTATTTTCGAAATTGATTGTTCTGAACTAATTGACTTTCTCAGATGCCATCCAACAGGCATTGCTTTAAATCCTCAAGAAGTCCTTCAAGGTCATTTTGAAGTCGACATTGAAAATGAAGCTATGGAAATACGTTTATGGGAAGCTACAACACGTTCTGAGTGTGTTGCAAGACTTGCAAATGTTTCGCCTTGTTGTGGGTATCCATATGGTGCCACAATTGCAAGATCAAGAGTATACAAGTTCACTAATATTTACACCTAAATACCTAATGATCATCTATTGTGCGGAGGAAAATACCGCAATATGCATACTCAAGTAGCATCGTTTCAGATAAGATATGAAACTTGACATTGAGAAAGAAGATAATATGTCCAAAAAGGAACCTTGCAGTAACTTAACTGCCAATTGATGTAGATGAATTACAGTGTACCTCCTGGAACTGTAATGCTTTGTATCTGTCCATATAGGTAGAAACAAAACCGAGAATGATAGATTTTTATACAATATACAGTAATTTCTCCACTGATACACTTCTGTTATTTTGAACTCTGTCAAGTACTTTATTATGTCTGTTTTCCAAGCTGTTGTTATAGATCAGTGCTCTCCAATATCGAGGCTAAACTGGGTTTATTCATCAGCTTGATATATGAAAATATTCGAACAATTGGGTTTGAGCAAATTAGCGGACACTCAATTTTGACAATATGAAACATAACTGAAAAACATTTCTACGGTGGCCGGCAGTGGCAGACACTTTATGAAATATTGGGTGGGTGGGGGGCTTGTGCCGAAGGGAATTCACACGAGAATTCTAATCTGGATCCTGGAAATGGCATTTGCAGCATTCTGAGAACACCTTTTTTAAAAGTAGGTTTTCAAAACACTGTTTTAATGGTGCATTTTGTTATTAAATAAATCATATGCGAAGCATAGAAAACCAACATTTCAGCGAAAATATTTACATGATTATTTACATTTGTGAATGGAATTGCAAGGTGGTTTAATTTAATTAACACGCCAATGTAAAACTTTATTCGCTAAGTGAGTGAAATTTATTCGCTGTGCACGTTTTTGTTTTGTTAACATGCGAATAAGAATGTATAAAATGCATATGTTGTGACATGTACAGTACAGAAACATATATTATATTGTTTGGTATGTTGCTTACTTTTTTAGCTTATTAAAGGTGATCTACAGTCCGTATGTAAACAAAGCCTTTGTTTACATTTTTGTGTCCAAGATATTGAGCTTTATTCGACAACTATTTATATTTTCAAGCTTCTGGAGTATAATAAATGATCAAGAAACAACAATCAGGCTTTTCAAGAACTCAAAACATAGTTAAACTGTTTGCATCATAAAAAGTGGGCTCATTTGTGCACATGCGCAGATCGGACTGTAGATCACCTTTAAAGTTTAATCAAATAGTTATTATTTAATATGACAATTACGTTATATGAGTGTGATTTGTGTTATTTGGTACAAGATTGTGTAAAAATTATTGGGGGGGGGGGCGGGCGGGTGGGCGGGCCCCTCCTAGTGTCCGCCACTGGTGCCCGTTCCCATGTAGCAATTTGCAAGCGAAGCGGGCAAGTTTGGACCATGCAGGGCTAACTGCAAATTTTTTTTGGCTATCTGCAAAAAAAAACTAAAAACACAGGCATGTCAAGGGGAGAGTCCTGCACATTAATGGGACAACCACACTGGCATATGATTATGACATGCAACAACTGATAATCCATTTCAGAGTCTTTGCTTGTAGAGCTGGACATTTGTAATTTTACTTGGTTCCAGATGATGTGCTGCATGCCTGTGAGGCCACGCAGGATCATTGTTTTCCCCAGCATTTATTTAATAGCTTGGTATGCAAAATCACTCTTGAGGGATTCTGCAAAATCACTTTTGAGGGATGTATTATTTCAGTTCATTGTCATTCAAATTAGCATGCACAATGTTTTGTACCCGAATACCCCATTAAGAAACCATCTCTAAAAAGTTAGCAATTTGCATGTACCAAGTTTAATTGCATAGTAGATCCCAAATTAAGACTCAATCCAAAAAAGTGGGGTCACATATCGTAATTACATATTACCAAGTCGGTCATGAATGGGAGGTGTTACACCTCCACACCCCCCTCAAGCTATGCCCCTGGTTATGCCAACTGTCACAGATTATCACAGGGTTATGGGGGAGGCCTGGGGGATTAAAATTCATAAAAAAAGCAGCTTCATCACAATGCAAAATTTGTGTCACAAACTGTATTACCATAATTCTAGAAAATATGGTTTGTTATTTTGATCAGTTAATTCCATCCAATATAAAATCTGAAACTTCTTTCAAATCTAAACATAGTATAAATACACCCCCCATATATCAATCAGTCAATGAATGTTAACAACAGTAGTCACTGCATGCAGTGGTGTAACGCTCATTGGGTATGGTTAGTTAAAAAACTAAGGGCCCCGACAGTTGGGGGCCCACGTCAGCCACAGCCTATTAACCAGAAAATTAGAAAACTTAAAAAATGCAGGTTAAGAATCAATGGGAAAATGCAAATTTAATAATGCTAAATAATAAAGCCTTCATCGACAACGGTAGCTGATTTTTTTATTCCATCTCAAATAAAACAAAAGTTATTCTTATTAGTTGTTACATGTGTTGGAGACTGTTACACTGTATTGTTATTGTTATAGACACATTTTCCAGAACATTCTATAAATATTCAATATAAATATATCTCAATCAAACAATGACAACAGTCAACAGGGGTCCCCACACCAAATATGCATAAGGGCCTTCTCTTCCTCTGTTACACCACTAATTGCATGATTGATCACCATAGACACCATACATCCATACCCAATCAAATTATCAATTACAGTGCGTCTACAGTAAGTGGGGGCACTTTGAGAACACTAACAAATTACACTGCAGAACAAAAATAGAAATCTAATCAAACTACAGCTCGTCCAATCAAAAGAAAGCATGGAGTTCGCTTCAGGTAGCCAGTGAGGCTGCTCCATTTACTGTTTGGAGTACTCCGGATTTTCGGAACACTAATTGAATCGAACCGAAAACGGTCACATAAAAACAGTCATGTGAACATTATTGGTTCGATTTAATCAGTGTTCCGAAAATCCAGAGTACTCCGAACAGTAAATGGAGCAGCCTCAGTAACTACAGTGTTTACTTTTCAAGTCTATTTTTACCATTTCACATTCGTTTATTTGTTTATTTTTACCATTTCACATTCGTTTATTTGTTAAAATTGTTTTTGGCCTAATGCTGATTGGCTAATGCGCCGTTTGTTGATTTTTTCTATTTTTATTCCGCAATGTGATTGGTTAGTGTTCTCTATTAAAGTGGCCCTAATTTATACTGTAGACGCACTAAAATAATTGGCTGTATAAATGTTGATAAAGATATTTACAGACTGGTCACTGGTGATTGCAGTCATTGAACTACGGTATACCTTCATTTCTCCATCTGTTCTAGACATGGTTGTTTATCTTGCTACACAATTCTTCTGAAATCAACCAAAAGATCAGTCGTGGTTCGTAGGAATAAAATTTTCAGAGGAATCTTCGAATCAGTGTTTCCACTCTCAAAAACTAATTTCCTTCGTATCTAAATTTCCTGGCTGCGCCGGAGCAAAATAGACTATTAGTCCAGTCAATCTGTGACCAGAGGTGAAAGAAATTGCAATATAATTTTTTTCAGTGGTTAAATGTGAGGGAAGGTGTTCTGATTAACATACTAAAAATAAAAAGAAATCCCTTTGGTGGAACATGGTGAAAATCGAGTTTTTCTTACTTCTACCTATAGAAAACCATTGTGGCAGAATGTTCAAATTTTGAAATCATTTTTAGGCAAATGTAACCTACACTATTGGAAAGCTTAGAAAAAACTAAAATATAGATCATTAAACGGTTATATTCAATTTACTGGTCAGTTTGTCGTTTAATATTCTAGCTCAAAATTGGAAAAATAGTTAATGATCTATATTTTAGTTTTTTCTAAGCTTTCCAATAATGTAGGTTACATTTGCCTAAAAATGATTAAAAAATTTCAACATTCTGTCCACAATGGTTTTCTACAGGTAGAAATAAGAAAAAAACTATTTTTACCATGTTCCACCGAAGGGATTTTTTGGGATTTTTAGTATGTTAATCAGAACAACTTTTCTCACACTTTACCACTGAAAACAAATCTATTGCGATTACTTTGATCAGGACCATGTGGTAAGGACGCATGCCAGGGAGACAAACTGCGACACGCAAGGAGATTTCCTTTTAATTTAATTCTAAAAATCACAAATTTACAAAGATATAACATGCACATTCCCAGGGGCGCCGGAACTGGGGGGGGGGGCAGGGGGGGCTGCCCCCCTTGCCTTTTGCTAGGGGGGCAGGGGAAGGCAGAAGTGCCCTTTTAGTTGTAAAATAATACGTGATAAATAACATTTCCAACGATGCTTTTTGTAGGAAAATCACGAGATTCAGGTAATTTATAGTTTATATTTATAAAAATTTTGGGAAATTTTTGGAATTTAGAAAAATATTTTGAAGAAATGGCGAAAATTTAAGATATCCGGAAAAACTTTTGGCTTCACGGAAAATTTTTGTATGTCCGGAAAAAATTTTTGACCCCTAAAATGGTACACTGACCGAAATTTTTTTGGCGATCGGGGGGGGGGAGGTCGCCAAAAAATGTTTCAGTAAAGGTGCCCTTGGTGTGCGTCCGCCCCCCTTTGCCCTATTATCGTTCCGGCGTCCCTGCACATTCCGATCATATTTTTACAATAACAAAGATAATATAATAATAAAATGTTCTCTAAAATCGACTATAAAGATAGCTAATAAAACAAATAACACTAAAACTGTTCATGGAACTATAAAACTATAAAATAGTACCTAAAGGGTGGATCTCCTCACGCTCGAACTCTCTATAAAATCGTTTTACTTGCTCTGTTAAAGCGTGACTCATTTTAGCTTTCCTATATCTTGACTTAAAAATGTCTCGTCTTAAATTACATATCGTGCGTCGATGACATAATCTAGAGGTTGCTAATAATTAACTTAACTTAACGGAACTTTAATTAAACTATAATACTATCAGAAGTAATAAAAATGTCAACTGTTCAAAACACCATGTACTTATAGTGATTTGACTGGACTAGAGATAGATAGATAGATAGTTTTATTAAATGATAGTTACATTGCAGGTTCTACTGAATTGCGTAACTTTACAATTATATAAAAGTCGTTCAATATAGATATAATAATACATAAGAATACTAAAATTTATCTTAATTTACGATTATGTACAGTTAAACTACTAACTTTATACAAGTATTGAAATCACCATTTCACTATATGTCATCATAAAGCTTACTACTATGCATTATGAATGACTGAGCATAGCGTTTGGTCTTTGCAGTTGGAATATTAAAAGTTCTACGTTTCCTAAAATAATATTTGGCATTGTTATTTCTCTGCGGTAGTAGAGCATGCAGTTTGTTTTTAGAGTCACTTACAACTGACCTAAAGAGTGATTTAGATAAAGATTCGTGGTGATCATGTATAGATGCTAGGCCAGCGAGCGATAGGGCATCTTCGTAACGCCTTCCTGAGTTCCTGGGTAAATGCAGGCTAGTGCTCTTTTCTGGATCCTCTCCAGATCTTCTTGGAGATATTTTGGAAGTGAGTAGTGGAATACAGGGCATGCGTAATCGATTGCAGAACGGATACATGTACAGTAATAGGCGACTATTTCTCTTGCTGGGACTTTCGCTCTCTTAAGCTGTACAAGAAAATACTGCTTGCGAGATGCTTTCTTTACTATTTCCTCGATATGATCATTCCACGTAAGGGTGCTGTTAATCGTTACGCCGAGTAGCTTAACCTTGCTCACTGGGATAATGGTGGACCCCTCAACATTGACTGGAGATGGCAAATTCCGAGACCGACTGAAGGTAATAGGTAGCTCTTTACATTTCCTGCAGTTAAGTTGAAGCATGTTCCTTTTTGACCATTCAGATACCTGATCGACAGCCGATTGTGCGTCACTTAAGTCTTTATTTTTGGCTATTACTTCAGATACAGTCGTGTCGTCAACGTATTTCCACATATCAAAGGGGTCTCCAGAAATTGAAAGATCGTTAATCATTATCAGAAACAGCCAGGGGCCCAACTTCGTACCTTGAGGAACTCCTGCAGGTACGGCTCCCCACTCTGAGAAACAGTCCCGTTCCAGTTTAACCCTCTGAGATCGACCCGATAGAAAACTCATGATCCAATTGATGACGCTGTTGGGAATGTCCAATTGACGAAGTTTCTCAATAAGGGTAGAGTGGTCTATCAAATCGAAAGCTTTCCGATAATCGAATAACAAAACTCTAATTGTTGAGCCAGTGCCGTCAGACTCTTTTAGCCACTTGTGGACCATGCTAATTAAGGCCATAACCGTTGAAGAACCTGGGATTGTTCCAAATTGATTGGGATCGATTATTTTGGTCACAGCAGGTTTAATGTAATCAGCTACAATGAATTCCTCGGCCACTTTTGATAGAGAACAGGTTAAGGAAATTGGTCTAAGTTCCGATTGGGGGTTCGTGACACGTTTGACTTTGGGAAGCGGGCATACGTCAGCCAATTTCCAAACCCTTGGAAGACTTTGGTCCTTAA